TTTTGTGCCGGATTCGGGTTAGATTTTTGGGCCATGCCTATTTTTTGTCAGCTCTATTTTAAATAGGTTAAATTACTCAACCTTAATCGGCTCATTTATTATCGTGTTGGATTTGTATTGACCCGTATACATAATTGGGTCAAAATCATTTATCCAAATCAATTATTTCTTGTCAGATTGTTGTATTATGTTAGTTTTTGTCAGTCCTACTGTAACATTTACAGTAAATTATGTTGAATTATTTAAGATTGGACTTAATTTAATTAATATATGTGTTAAATATCAAACTAAAATTATTTTACATATATAAAAAAATGTATTAATATAATTAGATTGTTGTGTCGTGTGACTTGAGGGCCTCAATCTTAACCGACCTGTTTATTATTATGTCGGGTTCGTGTCAACATATAGATATAATCGAGTTGAAATTCTTAACCCAAACTCAATTATTTTGTGTCGGTTTGTGTCAGATTGTCGTTCTGTTTCAATTTGTTAGCTATACATGTGCATCATATTTAATGGCATTTGTTAGCCTGTATCAACATTATAATCAACATATTATTGGATTCATGCCAGCAAAGAAATTAACTAAAGAAGCATGTTAAGTTACACAAAACATAAAGGGTTTAGATTATGTGTTCAAACCTTTCCACCGAGAAGTTAAGTAATTCATTCAGTTGTGTTGTTCTTATCCTTGTAGTGAAGTACTATCTTGTCCAAGTTTAAGACCATTGTCTCAATGAATTAATGTTTAGTAGCCACTTTATGAGACTCTCTGGGAGAGCACGTCTGCAGCATATATATTCTTAATGAAGGTTGAATCGGTTTACATCTTGTACCCTATAAATAATATGTTAAATATCACAAAAAACCTGTATGTGTATAGGGCATATTTAATAGTTGTAATTAGCATTCTAGATTGCCAATTTCATCATTTTTCTATTTTATTTTAGCATACCTTAGTGTAAAGAACAATGAGATTTTTTTTTTTTTTGTATTTTATACAATATGCCATGTGCATAGAGTATGGTATGTTTCTGGCATTGTATCCCTTCGTGTTACGGTTATAGCAAGAAAATTTTGAAAACCCATTTGAATTAATCTTGTGTTTCCTCGTACAACATTGTTGTCCTAAATATAGACATTTGGCAGTGATATGTTAAAGTCCATGAAAACACCTAATGAGCAATATTGTTATAATCCGATACATGAAAAAAAAATTAGCAGATGTGCGTATAATGTATTAAGATGTTGTATAAGTCTAAAGTATATGCTAACTTTTTGGAGGATAATATGTTGACTCCATACAAACAAAAATTCTGTAAATTTGACTAGTGGCCTGTAGTTCTTGTTCATCTGGTATGTAGTATCATACATAATAGAATCCTTAAACAATGAGTAGTCTTCCCTCATTCGACCATCTTATCAAAATATGTTAACAATTTTATCTTCAGAATCTACTTCAATTCCATAAAAGAAAAATGGATTATCCATTGATCTTTGGCTGAAGTATTGTAGTAATACATTTGCTCCCCCACTTTTCTGAAAATTTCTTTTCATTTTTCTTTCATGTGATTTTTCAAGTCTAACTTGAGAAATCTCATATTTTCCTTCCCTCCAAATGCTATTTTTTTTTTATCGAACCATATCACCATCTAATTGGTAGTCCAATTTCTTAATTTGTTTGACATGATTAAGTGTAATTAACCAATGTTACGGTTGGATAGAAGCATATGCTTGTATATTGTAGGACGTAGATTGTGGTTGTGGTTGTGGTTGTCTTCAAAGTATGTAAATCTGTATATTGCAATTTGTCTATCCAGTTGAAAACGTACATTTGAATTACAGCCGGTTCTCATCTCATGATTATGACGCATTATTTGGATCTTTCGTAATGTTTTGTATTCTTCTGGATGAATTTTGGTTTAATCTGATTTCCAATTGTTGTATTCTTTGTACCCTACTTTTTTGTAACAATATTTCATATATTATATCTGATACGAGTCATTTTTTAATTTTTTATGCATTTTAATCCCGACTGCAAAGCCCCTATAATATGCATACACATAATAGAAATTGTATACATCATTTGATTTTGTGAATTCCATTACAGGTCAATATATGGATATTGTGTATATTAGATGCCGAAAACGCCAAACAATATGTTGTCTATTGAATTTTAATATATTTTTACACAACTTAGAAAATGTTAAGTTTTGTATTTAATCTTATCAAATGTCGGGTTGTATAATATAGTATGTAATGTTTCCCTATGCACATGTAAATATTAAACTCAACTTAACGGTATGTTAATTTATTTTAATTAACAATAATTTAGATATTTTATTTCAAATACGATGGTTAATACATATTAACCAAATTCCTAACAGAGGCAACCATGATTTTAATAGTTTGACTACTCTCTAAATCTTGAAAAACTATGAAAACAATCAGGTTTACACAATATCAGAAATTATTCCCCATATATATATTATTGAGAAACAATAATTTTGTTAATCTACCTTCCGAGCATTGATTAATTTACAAGTTCACACAATTTCATATATCTAGTAAATCGAATTCAGTATATTCTCTAGAGTTTACTTATGTGGTTGGACGATTTCAACTTCATCGTCTGGTATTGGCGAATGATGTAAAATATCTGGAACTTCAAATTTTTTTATGTCTCCGTTGATTGGTGAGCGATCGAATAAGGTTGGAATTAAGACTAGTTTATTTTGCTCGCTACCATTGATCTCATCATCAACGATATCGTGAAATTTGTTTACAACATTGAAATTGCATGAATCCTGTTTGTGGCGCCAAAATTGAAGGTGTGAAAGGATAAACGAGGTTATAATAAACATTGTTGATTAAATTACACTCATATACCTCAAAGAATACAAATCAGGAAAATTGCAATAAGTATTATATACCTATGATCAATTATCAGTCTTGTCTTTTAATTGTCGCCCTGACAAAATATATTCCACAAGTGTCACATTTTTGCCATTTTTGTCCTCTGGCCGCACGTCAAGTTGATGACAGATACAATCTCAAGTACGCGAAGTGGGATTGTGTTATGGAAGACGAAATCATGAAAGTGTGACATCTGTGGAATATATTTTGTCAATATGAAAATTAAAACACAAGAGTAATAATTGCTCGTCATGGCCCTAAATGCCTAAATGATAAAATAAAAATCTATTTTTAGACTCGAAATTTTAGAAAATTTGCACGATTCATCCGAAATGACTAAACAAAGCACCTAGCAATATTATTTTTATCAATGCAAGGTCATTTAGGGCCCCAAAAATCCTAAACACTAAAAATTATACACTAATTTTTAGACTTAGTTTATACAAAACTCGCACAGTTAATCTGAAACGACCAAACAAACCAACTAACGATATTATTTTTTTCCATCCGAGGTTATTTAGGACTCCAAAAACCCTAAATGTTAAAAAGGTGTACACCCATTTTTGTACTCATAATTATACAAAACTTGCACAGTTAATCCTAATTGACCAAACAAACCAACTAATGATATTGTTTTGTGTCTCCGAAGTCGTTTAAGACCTTAAACCGTAAACGCCAAAAAAATGTGAAACTATTTTAATACTTGAAATTTGAGGAAATTCACACGTTTAATTCGAAATGACCAAATAAACCAACCAATGACTTGCTCATTAGTTCGTTTGGCCGTTTCGAATGAACTATGCAAATTTCGTCTAATTACAAGTCTAAAAATGAGTTTATATTTCGTTTGGTCGTTTTTGGATAAACCGTGCAAGTTCCCTTCAATTAAGATTCTAAAAATGAGTTTCCAAATAAATTAAAATGAAATATAAAATCAAATTCTAGAATATTACCCTGTCTAAATAATGTATTTAGTTTAGAGTTTTATTTTTGATTTTTTTAAACAATTATTTAATATTGCCTAAGTTATCAATATATATATATTTTCCTCTCAATTGAAAAGTGTTTTTTTTTTTTTTTTTTTATATCAATTTTATCTCTTTTACAACAAAGTATTCATCTATCATCATTAATTATACATTAATGCTAAAATATTGATAAATTTTACATAAAGTACATGATATACTATTTTATATATACATAAAGTATATAAAAAAAATATCAAAATCATCTTAAATACTTAAATTAACTAATCAAATACTATTATTTATAAGTTAATTAAAAAATTCAAATATGTATTTTTGTCCGGGAGTATTTTTTAAAATTGTCATCTAAAAGATTAATTTTTAATTTTTAATAAAAAAATTACCTATATTCTATTAAAAAAATAAAAAATAATACTCTATCCGTCACAAGTAATTTGTCCTTTTTAAATTAGGCACGGTATTGTGAAATTAGAAATATATTAATAAAAATAATTATAATTTAATAAAAATAATTATAAATTAAAATTAAAATGATTAAACAGTTTAATTAAAATAAAAAATTATAAAATTATATATTTAAAGATATGATTAAAATGTATAATTATATTTTAAAAAAAAAAATGACAAATTATAGAAAGAGTATACAAATTAAGTGGGACTGAATAGGGAGTAATAATTATACTCCATCCGTCCAATTAAAATATTGCAAATTTTCATTTTTGTTCATTTCAAAACAAGGTTATCATTTCTTCATTTAATAATTCTACTACTTACCTAATATACCATTAGTTTTATACTAAAGTATATTAATAAAAGTATTTTTGTCTTTTTCACTGAAACTCAATATAATACTAATATTAAAAAATTTATATACAATAAATAAACGGTAACATTTCCACGGGCACAAAGGGAAATTTTATTTTATTAAAATTAATGTTGAATATTTTAATATATACAAATATTTGTGAAATAAATAATTTTATTTTTATTAAAAATGGATAAAAATAGAAAACAAACCCTCCCTGTTTTTTTAGGAAACCATAAATGGCAATTTCGTAATTAATAAACAAAAGATAAAAATAAAAGCAGGTTGAGTTTACTCTCACTCTCGACAAAAACGAAACGCCGTCACTCGTAGCTTTCCCCATTCCTCTGTCTCTGCGCTACCACCGGCCGCCGTCGCCGCCGCCGCGAGGAGAGGAGACCCCGTCGTCTGAAATCTGGCCGTGTTCGTAGTCTTCCTCGTAGGGTTTGTTTTGTTTTCTAGGTAATTTTGGGAATTATTTTTGTTTCGTTTGGATTCTTTTGGGGGATTTTCATGGCGTCGGAGGATGTGAAGGCGAGAGATTCGACGGTGTCAAAGTTTGTTAATTTTGCGGAGGAGGCAAAGCTGGCGAAGGAAGAGATCAAGCCTACTAAGTATCAAGTATACAGTATTTGCAAATCCCTCGTCGCGGGCGGTGTCGCGGGAGGAGTGTGAGTTCTTAATTGTTTATGTTCATGTTTGTGCATATGATTTGTGTGATTTTTTAATGCTGTTTCCTTTTTCCATTTTCTCGAAAGGATTGGGTGATTTTCTGATTGATATGTTTGTAGCTATTGTTGATTGATATGTTTGATTGAGGAGGATTGCGAATCTTTCTGAGATCGGAACGACTTTTAAACTTTGATTTTATAGTTACAAATGAAATTTTCTCCTCAGAAAGATACGGGGAAATGTTGAAGTTTCGACTTATTGAAGAGAAAAGATTGCGTGATTTGTTTAAGTTAAATAAGCTATGGGTCATGTAATTTATCCTCTGTTTTGGAGATTGAATCAAGAGGGAAACTAATTAGAATAAATGTTCAATTATTTGTGATGATTGATAAGGGCTTGTGGAAATGAATGATAGACTTTCTGGTGCTGCCGCTATATTGATACAGATGTAAGTCTGTGTGATTGACCAGATGCATGTACTCTGCAGGTCGCGAACTGCTGTTGCACCTTTAGAGCGCCTCAAAATTCTACTCCAGGTTTATTCAACAATACTTTGTTAATTCTATTATACTTGAATGCTTGTGTTGAGAGAATACTGAAAACTAAAAAAAAAAAATGGTCTGTTATGGCAATTTGATCTGCGTGTATATGATCTTTTGGCACATTTGGCCAGTCATAGCTTTGCTCTTAAAATTGTTAATTCGGTTATGATTATTTTTTAATTATATTCATGTCAGGTTCAAAATCCACACAGCATAAAATACAATGGAACTGTTCAAGGCTTGAAGTACATTTGGAGAACCGAGGGCTTTAGGGGGCTGTTTAAAGGCAATGGAACTAATTGTGCTCGAATTGTCCCAAATTCAGCAGTGAAGTTCTTCAGCTATGAGCAAGCATCCAAGTATGATATTTTGACATTGCATATGTTTATTAAGTGGGTGATACACGCATGCGTGCACACACACAAATAACAGGTGCTAGGATTTGGAAATCATCCTATTGTGTATTGTTAACATTGAAGGATATTAGACAGAGGAAGTTCATAATCTTATGAACTAATTTTTTAAGAACCCCATTTAAAAAATGGGAAAAGCATTTCATAGTCATGTTATATACTGTTTTTTTACACAAAAGAAATTTACGGTAAGAATTGTGATTTTTTCATTTTTTTTTTAAGTTGACAAGTGCAAGCTCTTTGGAATCATTGCTTGCGTCATTGATTGCACTTGGTACCATTTCTTTCTTCTGGATGGCTATATTTCAAAACTGAGCATCATGGACAGTTTTGCATGTGATCATTTGATAACTTTGAAAGTTTTGTTCCGTATCCAATTATTGTCATGTTGAACATATATCTGATTTGATTTTACTAAATGAAGGGAGGTTTAATATTTATGCGATCAATAAGGAACTTCCACTTGTGTAAAGTAGGATGTGTTCTAGAATAATCAACAAATTATTTTATCTTATGTTGTTGACACATGACATTTCTAATTTGCTGAAAGGTAGTTAAGTATTTAGCTGGTATTATTCAATTTATGAAGATGGTCATGCTGTAATGAGAAATGTGAAGGATGAGCTTAAATGAAGATACTTGGTGTGTTGAGATGAGTATTCTATGTATTTCCATCAGTTGACTTTGTTCTGGTGTTGTAACAGGGGTATATTATACATGTACCAGCAACAAACTGGCAATGGTATGACATTTATTTTACACAGTGTAGTTTATTCAACTTTATTGATTTTTGTCTTATTGGCATGTGACACAAACTGTTGCCTTTATTCTTCTGTGGACTGGTGAAAGCTTTGTTTGTTAGATTACAATGTGCAGAGCATTTTTTTTTTATATTCATGAAACATAATCGCAGTGAAAAGTAGTAAGTTCTTGTATTGAAATCTGGATTCTTTGTTGTGGTATTCACATATTAATTATATCCTATCAATCATTTTATTTTTATCTGAATTCTTATGCTGCATCAGAGTAGCATCCCATGTGGACTATTACATCTAAGCGTCAAAGCAAATAACTTAATTCTTTTGACTTTTGTGGCAGACATATGGCAGATGTAAATCATTGCATAATTTATTTGTCTGAATTTTTGTTCTTGTAGAGGATGCTGAGTTGACTCCTTTGCTGCGGCTGGGTGCTGGAGCATGTGCTGGCATAATTGCTATGTCTGCTACATACCCAATGGACATGGTTCGAGGAAGGCTTACTGTACAGGTAATGCAAATCCTCCTGACAAGAGCCATTCAGATGCCTTTATGCACACTGGATTACTAATTCTAATGCATTACAGACAGATAAGTCTCCTTATCAGTATAGAGGAATGTTTCATGCCTTGTCAACTGTGCTTCGTGAGGAAGGCTTTCGTGCACTATACAAGGGTTGGCTTCCTTCTGTCATTGGAGTTGTAAGTTTTCGAATAAGCCATATTTATTATAGAAAATACAGTGCCATTCTGGATTGAAGTAGTCTTTATCATATTTGAATTGTCTGTGTACAAAAAATAGTCTTTTGCTCTTTTTTGGACTAAACTATAATTAATAGTAAATTATTCTTGCTTTAATGTGTAGAACATGGTTAATGCAAAAACTCTATAGCAACTTTAATACTGATGCTGGCTTCCTTTTCCATTGGAGTTGTGAGTTCTTGAGTAATTCATATTTGTTAAGATAGCAGGTAGTCTGCCAGTCTGGATTAAGAGTAGTGTTTATCATATTTGATTGGCTGTTTACAAAAAAGGGTAGCCTTTGGCTATTTCTAGAACATTGTGATTTGAAACTTTATTTAGTGAGCTAGTTATTCTATTGAGTAGTAAATTATTCTACTTGTTTGAATGTGTTAAAACATGGTTGATGCGAAAATTGTGATAACTTAGAAGAGTTTATTTAAGCTGGAAGGGTCTCTTTGCATGGATATAGTTTTCCTTTTTGATTGGGGATTTGACGTTATCACAAGAAATTGAATTGAGAAACTTGGAACTTTGAAATCAGAATTGTTTTAGACACTAGTTTTCAAAATTCCAACTGAATACAATTTCAATTTTCTCTGGTACCAGTTTTGATTTTGAATCTAAGATGACTTCACTAAAATGGAACAAAAGTCTTGAGCTGAATTTTCTGAAATTTTTAGAATTTATATGATGATGTGCTGGGCTTTTATATTTTAGAATAAGTTTAATTATTTCTACTTTTGAATTTGCATTTTGAAATTTGCGCTTGGTATCTTATTTTTGGTTGGGTTTCATCAGATTAAGTTAGTGAGTCCTTGGATATAATGTTTTCTTTGACTAAAAAATTGCAACTTTCAAATTCAAATATCCTAATACCACTTTTTTTTCTTCGATAAAATTTTTGGATTGATTGTAAATTGACAGTTTGATTTGACTTCTGATGTTTTGAGTTCATTTCTAAATCAATAGGTATATTCAACATTTTGAAGTTACTGTCTTGATTTTGTAGTGGCAGATGATAATTGTTAGAAAACAGTTATATTTGTCATCAGGAGACCTGCTTCAACACTTTGTTGCCGCCATAATTCTTATTGATTTTGTATTTAAATGATTTATTTCCTTTTTCATTTTATTAACTTATTATCTGAAGGAGAAGATACGTATTGAGTGCAAAGTGATTATTTAAAAATTTTGTTTTTCTTTTCTATTTTCCCCTGGTGTTCAGTAAAATGTCTATAATATTTTTCATTTGTTTGCAGGTTCCATATGTGGGTCTCAACTTTGCTGTGTATGAATCTCTGAAGGATTGGTTAATTAAATCCAAACCCTTGGGGCTTGTTCAAGACAATGAATTGGGTGTCGCGACGAGGCTTGCATGTGGCGCGGCAGCTGGTACGGTTGGACAAACTGTTGCATACCCTCTTGATGTTATTCGGAGAAGAATGCAGATGACTGGGTGGAGCCATGCTTCTTCAATTGTCACTGGTGATGGGAGAAGCAAGGCTAGCCTTGAATATAACGGCATGATTGATGCGTTCAGGAAGACTGTGAGGAATGAAGGCTTCCGAGCATTGTACAAGGGTTTGGTCCCCAATTCCGTTAAGGTTAGTCAAGATCTTATCATCATTTTTCATTTCCATGGCATATTAAGCTCTTTTGTTGTCAGCCGTATATTGATTTTTCATTTCTACGGCGTATTAAGATCTTTCATGTCATACGTAAATTATAATATACATATAACCCCTTTACTTTGCAAATGGAAGACCATTAGAACTCTTTAAGGCATGGTTACTATAAGTGATTATGAACCCCCTTTGTAAACACACCTACACCCTAGGATTACATTTACAACACTATTGGAAAAAGTGAACAAGCCTAACCTTAATATCACATGTACTTTATAGCCCTTGACTATGATTAAGGACTGTCTTCACACCTAAAATATGTAGGATTATAACCCTAGGTAATATGTCGTGATTAATTGATTCATTTTATTTATTTATTTTTTTCCAAGACCAAAACATTTTAGTGAAAACATGTTTTTGATGGCTAACTTTAACTTAAGTTATATATATGTATATATTATAAAAATTTCTGTATTTTCGTAGCTACCTTAAGTAATTTAAGTAGTCGTGTTATTATACATCTTAATGCATTGAATTCAACAATATATTTGTCAACCAATCAAAATTATCATTTTCATTATTTATATTGATCATAGTAAACATGATATTACTGGATGAACAAGCAGTCCACAAGTAGCTTCTGCTTTTTTTTAACTTAGCATCTTTTTGTCCATTTGATAAAACACAAATCACTAAACACATTCACTTGTTTGAATGCCTTTATAGTATTTAAGTACATACTACATACAATAATGTTGGATTCCAAAGTTCCATTTAAATTAACTTCGGCTAACAAAAATTGCCATCTCTGTCCAGGTTGTCCCGTCAATAGCTATTGCTTTTGTGACATACGAGCAAGTGAAGGAGTTACTTGGGGTGGAGTTCCGAATATCCGACTGAATGTAAGTGCACAGAGAGCCACGGCATTTGCTCCTGTGATTTTATTTTTTTGTTGTCGAGAAGGTGAAAAGGATATTACTGCCGAAACCCTTCTTCTGGAGAGATCACAGTACTTAAATACCATTCTAATTTGCATCTGTAGGATGCACATTACCTACCCCCTTTGGTTATGTATCTTCGTGTTCTTGGTTCAGTAGAAGTGCTTCCCCAATAAGTAACCATCAGTCAGTCAGTCTCGGGTAAGAGTGGTGGGTGACGCGACAAAGTTATGAATAATAATTAGCTATTTGTCTGGTCGCCGTTTAGCTTTACTGGTTTTCTTTATGGCTGTTGAATGAGTAAACCTCTGCATGTCTTGAACTTTACTGGATTTTTGGCATTGCTTCCGGCTCTTGTTTTAGAAAGAAAGATTGTGCTGTGCTGCCTGCTTTTCTGTTATGGTCTGATATGGAAGTGATGCTTTTTGTGGAATGAGTTTAGAATAGAGTTGAGTAGATGAGAATGCTGCTTTGGTAAGTGAGTTGTTTGTGTACACACTTCATCTTATATAAATTTGTCTTGTCTTGTGTGTGTTCAGATAATTATTACTACATTTTGCTTGAGATAACAATGTAAGATGTATGTTTTTCTTGTGTTTTGGTAGGAATGGCAATAGATCCTAGTGGATCTCAGAGTAGTTTAATTATTTGAGATTGGTTCAGTTCGGGTATAATAAAATATATTTGGGTTGGGCTTGGGTTCTAAATTGTTATGTTATATCCTATCCAACGCAACCCAAAACAAAAATTTTAAACTACTACTAATTGGATCCCAAAACAATAATTTTAATTAACTAATAATATATAAATAAAATTTAAATACATTTCTATTTTTATTTTTAAAGTGTTTTTGAAATAGAAAAATAAGGACAAGAAAATAGAAATGTCTTTGATTTTCTTATTTGTTGGAGTAGAGAATTGTTAAACTATTTTTTTATTCTCTAATTTTATATTTTTTAGGCAAAATTATTAGTGATTTAAAAATTTTGTACAATCGTTCCTTAGATCATTTGTGGTTTCGAAGTATTGTATAAGTATTTTAGGGGGTTTTATGCGCTATTTAAAAGTTATAAGGAATTTTAAGGAAATTTTATGCAATATTTTGTAAAATACAAAAGAATCTTGTGTAATTTTTAATTAAATTACAAAAAAGTATGATGCCATATTTCAAATTACATATGGATTATAAGCAATTTTGCTTTCCTTTTATATATGCAGGGAAGTGAGAAATATTGAGTAAGTTTATTTATTATTACTATTTACTAGTTATAATTTTTTTATTTTATAAAATATCAGGTTAAAACAATCGTTAAAAAATGCCAATTAAGTACACTAATATTTATCTATGAATTTCAGTTCCATTGAAACTTGATTAATATTTTTCTTTATCAATCATTTTGCAATATATTATCTCTTTCAGATAAATTTATTTTATTATTTTTTGTTATATTAATTTTATGTTTAAGTCGCATCCCTAATTCCTGTTTTACGATCACCCTTCACCTCTTTCTCAACTTATTTTCTATCTTTGCCATTTTTTTTTCATCCTCATGTTTTCTTATTCTTTGTGGATTAAGCATTTATGGCTACTCGGGGATCGAAAAATATACATTTGATTTGAATTTTGAAAAAAATAAATAAAAAAATAAGTGTTTAGTTTAATTTTAATTTTAATTTTTTCTATTTATTTATTTTGTTTTAAATACATAAATTTTAATGTTTATTTTAAATCATTTTAGATGTATTTGAAAATGTGGTAGCACGACGGATTGAATCCATTTGAAATTAAATTAATCTTGTCTATCACACCAAAGAAAATAAGTACTTTTCACTTCTACTTTTATTCTTTTGCATCAATGTATTGCATTAATTGTCATGCATACTTGCATTTAGTATTAACATCATTTTACATCCCGAGACATGCAATGATAAGTTTTCATCTTAAATTGCATATTATCAATCAAATAGTAACTATCATATATTTTTATTTTGTGTTGGTAAACCCTAAAGATGCATTTGATCCCGATTTTTGTTGGATAATTAGTTATTTACGCTATCGATTAATTGGTGAGTGAAAATGCGACGGACTGTTGAACCAAATTAATTAGATTAATTTGGATGAAATAAATAAATATTAGTTATTTATTGTATATAGAGTTTGATTAATATTTTGGTTATTTTTTCTGTATGAGACAAACCAAATTGTGCAGCTCTAAGTTAAACTCGAGTATATGGCCTAAGTCACAGTATTATTTGGATAAAATATTATCCGTTGAATAGATTTTTTTTTTAATCTCAAACGGAAGATTTGAAATTAGAATAAATTACAATCGTCTCAAATGGAAAGTTTGTAATTAGAATCAATTACGACCACCTCAAACAGAATGTTTGAAATTATAATAAATTACATCGATAATTAAGATCGTAATTGATCCTCTGTCATTTTGGCAGAGTGAAGATGTTTATATAAAGGGTCTCCCCCATTCATTCTAAACACACCAACAACATTCTCTTCTCCTTCTATTCTCTTTTCTAGCTTTCCGGCAACCTCCCCAACTCATTTGCTCTATCGTTTTGTTCGCCGAAGCTCCGACAATTTGAGGTGCCACTTTCATCGGAGACAGAAACCGTTTTATCTTTGGATTTGAAAGCCGGCCACCGGAGGCACTACCGATGCGTATCTAATTTTCGGAAAGATGATTCATCGTCGACTCGGTTTCACGGTATATTTACTTCTCAAAATACCTACTTAGCTAACAATAAAAAATGAGATACTACTTTGCGAAAATGTCAACTCTTGCCGAAGTCTCCGAAACCGCTGCCAGAGCCGCCGCCGGAGGAGTTTCCGGAGCTGTATCCAGAGTTGCTACTCCTCCAATTGGGCCGGTTTCTTTATGGGTAGCCCTGTGTTTTTTGGATTTGCCCCAGGTGGATGTGGGGGCTTTCTTGGATTTGTGGCTGAACCTTTCGCTGCATTCGCGGCCCATACTATTGGTTCTAGGTTTGGCTCACGAATGATGCCCTACATACCAATCCCACAACCATTTACTAAGGTGGACTTCAAGAGGTGGCAAGAGAAGATGCTATTTTACTTGAGCTCGATTGGATTTTTCATATTCGTGTTGCACGATGGCCCAACAACCCCAGAGCCCAATGCGGATTAGCAGACACATGTGAATTATGCATCATGGGCACATGAAGACTACACGATAAGGAACACTATACTAGGTAGTCTCTCTAACTCTCTTTATAAGTATATTGTAAAATAAATATTGGGAAAGGGTTGTGGGATGCCTTGGAGAAAAAAAATATAAGTTTGAGAATGTCGGGTCTAAAATATTTGTTGTGGCCCGGTTTATGGACTATAAAATAGTAGATGACAAGTTGTCGTTGAACAAGTGGAAGAATTTTAACACATTGTCCACTCTGTTATCCACGAGAAGATGCCACTGCCAGAAAATTTCATCACGAGTGTGATGATTGAGAAATTTCCCCCGAGTTATAGCAACTTCAAGCACACGCTAAATCATGAGCTAAAAAAAATAGGGCTTCAAGATCTGAATGTCTATATCCGAATAAAGGAGGATAACAGAAAGCAGCACAAGGCTAAAGACAGAGATATTGCTAAAGCCAACTTGGTCGGAGATCCCTCCAAGAAACGTGCACACTCGAATCAAATAAACAACGGCAAGGCCAAACAGCCCAAGTTTACAGGTAACTGCTTTAACTGTGGTAAAATAGGATACCAAGTTTAAGGAATGTAAGACGCCAAAAAAGAAGAAGCCGAGTTCCCAACTAGTTGAGACGAGCCACCCGACTTATCGTGACCTCAACAGTGATGACCTTGTCACTTGTGTACGAAACAAATAATATGAAAAATCCGAAAGCCTGAACAACCTGCTATGTTTGCTCTAACAAAACAAACTTCTCGACCTACAATGAGACTGAAGGGAGAAAGCTGCACATGAGAAACCACACAACTTTTGAGGTCCAACACGTGGGGAACGTGGTGTTGAAGATGACTTCTGACAAAGAGCTAACCCTGAAGGATGTCCTGCATGTGTCAAACATTCGGAAAAATCTCATCTCAGGATCACTGCTAGTTAGACATAGTTTTAAACTTGTTTTTCTAGCAGATAAATTTAAATTATCGAAAAATGAGATGTTCTTAGCTAGAGGTTATCTTACAAATGGATTGTTTAAGCTGAATGTAATGGCCGTGTGCCAAGCACCACCTATTGATAATGAAAATGTTGTTTTTTTTTCGTACTTGATCGAGTGTTTTGATTTATGGAATTGTAAATTAGGTTATGTAAACCTAAATATTATAAAAAGATTAGTAAATATGAATTTACTAAATATAAAAGAGGTGAACACTCAAAACAAATGTGAAGTTTGCGTAGACGCCAAAATGACAAAATTACCCTTCCCGTCGGTCGAAAGGAAGACTAAACCATTAGAATTAATTCACACTAATGTGTGTGATTAAAATTTGTGCAAACTAGAGGTGGAAATAAATATTTCATCATATTTATCGATGAATGTACAAAGTATTGCTATCTTTATCTATTAAAGAAAAAGAGCGAAGCAATTCAGAGTGACATAGGTGGCGAGTATGTGGCCCGTTCGAAAAATTATGTAACGAAAGTGGCATAATTTATCAAACAACGGTTCCATATTTACCTCAATCGAACGGCGTTACGGAATACAAAAATTGAACACTTAAGGAAATGATAAATACCTTGTTGATAAGTTCAAGACTCCCCCAAAACTTGTTGGGGGAGGTAGTACTGACTGCAAATTATATTTTGAATAAGATTTTACTTAAGCGTAATGATGCTAGTTCTTATGAATTATGGAAAGGCAAAAAACCTACATACAAATACTTAAAAGTGTGGGGGTACCTAGCAAAAGTGGAGTTCCGCCTCTAAAGAAAGTCTCACAATCCAAAAATGATAAATTGCATATTTATCAGATACGCACTAAATAGTAGTGTTTATCGTTTCATAGTTCACAAATCGAAAATTTCTGAGATGATTGAGGGAACTATGATAAAATCAAGGAATGCCATCTTTTTTGAAAATATCTACCATTATAAAGAAATAATTCAGTTCAACTCAAAACCCGTAGATGAAGAACTACAGAATGTAAAAAGAAAAATGGCTAGTAGCTTTGATCAAGAGGTTTCAGAACTTAGGCGTAGCAAAAGGACAAGGGTCGAGAAAATCTTTGGTCCGGATTTTGTTACGTATATATTGGACAATGATCCAGCAACGGTCAAGGAAGTATTATCTAGTCCTGATGCTCCTTTTAGGAAGGAAGCAATAGATAGTGAAATAAACTCAATAATGTAGAATAACATTTGTGTGTTATCTGATAAATTGGAGTTCCGCCTCTAAAGAAAGTCTCACAATCCAAAAATGATAAATTGCATATTTATCAGATACGCACTAAATAGTAGTGTTTATCGTTTCATAGTTCACAAATCGAAAATTTATGAGATGATCGAGGGAACTATGATAAAATCAAGGAATGCCATCTTTTTTGAAAATATCTACCATTATAAAGAAATAATTTAGTTCAACTCAAAACCCGTAGATGAAGAACTACAAAGTGTAAAGAGAAAAATGGCTAGTAGCTCTGATCAAGAGGTTTCAGAACTTAGGCGTAGCAAAAGGACAAGGGTCGAGAAAATCTTTGGTCCAGATTTTGTTACGTATATATTGGACAATGATCCAGCAACGGTCAAGGAAGTATTATCTAGTCCTGATGCTCCTTTTAGGAAGGAAGCAATAGATAGTGAAATAAACTCAATAATGTAGAATAACACTTGGGTGTTATCTGACCTACCTGAAGGTTGTAAACCAATAGAGTGCAAATGGACCTTAAAAATGAAACTCAAGGCTGATGAGTCTATTGATAAATTAAAAGTTCGTCTCGTAGTAAAAAGCTATAGACAAACCAAGAGTTTGAATTCTTCGACACATATTCACCAGTAACCAGGATAATATCCATTCGATGGTTTCTCTCGATTGCGTCTTTGAACAATCTTGAGATTCACCAAATTGATATGAACACTGCTTTTTTAAAAGGTGAATTAGAAAAAAAAAAAAAAAAAAAAGGTATATATGGAACAATCCGAATGATATATCGTGCCTGGCCAAGAGAAAAATGTGTGCAAACTAAAAGATTCTTTTGTACGGACTGAAACAGACACTTTTACAATGGCACTTAAGATTCGATATTCTCATGTTATCAAATAGTTTTAAAATAAACGAGTGTGACAAGTGTGTCTACGTCAAAGAAACACCTTTCGGTTTTATCATAATATGTCTATATGTAGACGACTTACTGATCATGGTTAAAGAGGTCAGTCTGATCAAAGAGGTCAAATGCATGTTGAGTCGTTACTTTGACATGAAAGATTTGGGGTTAGCCGATGTCATCTTTTGAATGAAGATTTTAAGGCAAGATGAAAGGTATTATTCTAATTCAATCCCACTATGTAGAAAAGATACTGAGAAATTCAATACCTATGACAAAACTCCAGTGAAAACCCTAATGGACCTCAGCGTACACTTGAGCAAGAATACGAGAGATCCCGTAGCTCAAGAAAAGTATGCCAAAATTATTGGAAGTCTAATGTATTTAACAAACTGTACAATGCCTGACTTAGCTTGCTCTGTAAATAAGCTGAGTCGATACACTACCAACTTAAGCACGACTGGAAAGCGCTAGTAAGAGTCTTAAGTTATTTTAAGTTTACTCTGAATTTTGGCATATACTACGCAAAATATCCATCGGTACCAGAAGGGTACTACGATGCCAATTGGATATCCGATGCAAAAGACTCATTGTCTACAAGTTGATATGTATTTACAATTGGAAAATGAACTGTTTCATGGAAATCCACAAAACAAACATGCAATTTATCCCAATTTGACGTTAGTCACTCTTCAAACTCTTAACGCCCTTCCAAAGTAGGTTGATGATACTGAACAATATGAAAATTTATTTCATGGAAGGTGTAAGATAGAGACAAAGGTATGTAGCCTTATCATTGACGGTGGTTCTGTTCTTAGGCGGCATGATGGGTGTCAGCAATCAGCTGTGCAATTGCATTCCGAGAAAGTGAGACACAAAATGATCGTAGTCCCATAGAGTGTGCCAATTCGTTGTATCCGAAAATTTCAGATATTTTTAATCTCGCGATGACGTGATGAAATCGGTCAAAACATGGATAAGGGTCTCTAGGACACTCTAGAAAATCTCTAGGTGAATATTTTGTATCTCTGGAAAAACAAGCTAGCAGAAAATCCGTTGATGGAAATTAAAAAGAAAAAAAAACTTTTAAAATGTAATTTCATTAAAATTGGAAAGGAAGGTTGAAATACATTCGGAATGAAAAAAAAAACTAGTAAAAATAAAATAAACTTGGGGAAAAGGTGAATGACAACGAAAGTAAAATACAAGAAAAATAAAGATAAAATAAAATTAGGTAAAATTGCTTATAACTCCCCTGTGGTTTCAAAATTCAGCGTAAAATCTCATTGTACTTTAAAAATTGCATGGTACCCCCTTATACTTTAAAAAACGTTGCATAAAACCCCACCACCATGAAACTTTTCTCGTGTGATAAGAAGATGATTTTCTATCTATATGTTTTGCATGGCAGGGGGTTTTATGCAATATTTTTGAAAATATAAGTAAGCGTCATGCAATTTTTTAAAGTAAAATATGAATTTATGCTGAGTTTCGAAACCACAAAGTGGTTTCATGCAATATTTTTTAAAGTATAAGGGGGCGTCATGCAATTTTTAAAGTAGATGGGGAATTCACGCTGAGTTTTGAAACCACAAGGGAGTTATGGGCAATTTTGCCATAAAATTAAGGGTAAATTATATAACACCCCTTTGTACTTTAGTAAAAATACACGAAACATCTGTGTTTTATTTATTGTGTAAACCCCTTTATATTAATGTAAAATTTGAACGAAACACCCTCTTTATCCAAAACTGGTGTTTGATTCTAAATAAAGATCTAAATTACGAAGTTTTATACAAATAAAAAAGTAATATCTAAAATAAGTTTTTTTAAATAAAATAAATATATAAATAATTGATTAATCATTCATTTTATAGTTTTTTTTGCAGACAAATTGCTATTTGATTTTTACAAAAACTATAAAAATTAATTACTGATCAATTATTAATTTATTTATTTTATTCAAAAGAATTATTTAAGATATTTTACGTTTTTTTATTTGTATAAAATTATTTTAATTTAGGTCTTTATGTGGAACCAAACATCAGTTTTGGACAAGAAGAGTGTTTCGTACAAACTTTACATTAATACGATGGAGTTTTACATAATAAATAAAATACATGGTGTTTGTGCATTTTTACTAAAATACAAAGTGATGTTATATAATTTACCCTAAAATTAAAATTGAATATTAGTTGTGACGATCAGGAACCTCTTCTTCACCATTGATCTTCTCCTTTTATAACTATACTTGGGTTGAAAATCTCTTTCTTCTTGAATGCTTATGACTTTCATCATTACTAGGAATTTCTTACACCATTGTAACTCATGTAACCTTCATGTCTCTTCAACAGCCGCCGAAACTCCTTCATTCAATACTCTCATGGCTTTATAAACTCCCCTCTATCATTTGGCTCTATTTATGCACTTTAATCACTGAAACCGTTTTATCTTGGATGACTTATCACTTGATAACCTCAAGTCAATGAATAGTTTTTCTTTGAATGAAAAGAACTAGGTATTAGATCTTAATTCATAAGAGTAACTTCCAAGTTGTTTTAAACGTTAAACCCCACTTCCTTGATAATTCTCAAAATTTTTGTAGCCTTTACTTCTTTTCATCAATTTTTTTGCAAGACTGCAATTTTTTCTTTTAGCAACTTGGCCCTTCCGCTGGACTTTAATCATAGGTTGTTGTCTTCTTCATTGCTTGGGTCTCTTTAGATCCGAGTCAACCTAATTATTTGAGCTTTTCCAAAAAAGTTATTTTTCGGGCCAACAGAGATACACAATGAATTTGTTCACCCAACTTATATCTAAATGATACGATTCACTATATATTAAAAATATATATACAATATATATTATATTTATACTCTATTCATCCACAAAATGTTAAATTATTTAATATAAAATATTATTTTTTATATTAACTATATAATATCTCATACAATAATACTTCATCCGTTCGTCTTTAAAAGTTATTTACTTTTTGGTTTTTTGTATAATTATTTATACAAATATTATTGTATAAATATCATAAGACACTAATAAAAATATTTATATCAATTTTTTTTTAAATTTATAATATATTTTGATATAATAATATTTAAAAATTTGTATGACAAAAAGTAACTGTGAACGGATGAAGAATTTTTCTAATTAACCAGTAAATTTCCTTTTCTTTGGGTGCCCTTAAAGAAAAGAAGCCATAGATATAAATTTTAAAAGAAAAAGTGAAGAGTTTGAAAATCACAAATATATCCCTAATAATAGATGCGCAATAATTTCATTGGAACAGGGAATTTTGCCAATTAACCGAAAAGTACACGGGGTCAACTGCATTTTCCTTTGACGCCGGTAAGAAAAGAAGCCATTGCATATAAATTTTAAAAGAATAAATAAAAGGAATTAGGAAATAACAAATATACCCCTATCCTATGGTAGGCTTGGTTTTATCTCGTCTTCCCTTCTCTTCCTTTCCTTTCCCTTCCCTTCCCTACCCTACCCTCCCCTACCCTCCACCTACGGATTATTTGCCTTCCCGTTCCTTCCTTATTGTGTCAGCCGTACGCGCACGCAGGGATTTTCCCCTCATTCATAGGACCTCCTCCATTATTGATCTCTCATTTTTTATCTTCTCTGATGATTGATTGTTACTGTTACTGTTACTGTCGCTTCGCACTAGTTTTTTATTTTCCCAATCCATTTGAGTCACAGATTTAGTTACCCACCCACGAGCAATCTATTGGATTGGATTGTACATTCATTCGATGCATTTTCCCCCGCCTAATTTTGACTGACTGCTTGCAGTGCTGGGCTCCATCTCTGACGAGGGAGAGGGAGAGGGAGAGGGAGAGGAAGGGAAAGCCCAAGGATTGATTGAGGTCATTAATGGCAATGGGTATGTATGTATGACCGAGAACCCTAGCTAGATTCGTTTGAATTTGAGTTTGAGTTTTCATTTGGACTGGATCCGAACCCACCCTTATCATCGTCGCTTTGATTTGATTTGATTTGATTTCGTCTCTAATATATCTATCTATCTAACTAATGGCTTCGACTATCCGATTCGAGGGTTCCAAGCAGCAGCAGCAGCAACACTACGCCACCAGCAGCCTGGTTGTCGGCTACGCCCTCTGCTCCAGCTTGCTCGCCGTGATCAACAAGTTCGCCATTACCAAGTTTAATTATCCCGGCCTCCTCACAGCACTCCAGTACCTCACTTCGGCCGCCGGCGTCTGGATTCTCGCCAAATTGGGGTTTCTCCACCACGATCCTTTCACCTTCGACACGGCCAAGAAGTTCTTGCCGGCGGCGCTGGTTTTCTACCTTGCAATCTTCACCAACACCAATCTGCTTCGCCACGCCAATGTCGACACCTTCATCGTTTTCAGATCCCTGACTCCTCTCCTCGTCGCAGTCGCCGACACCGCTTTCCGGAGGCAGCCATGCCCTTCCAAGCTCACATTCCTCTCCCTGGTGATCATACTGGGCGGTGCTGTCGGATATGTGGCCACAGACAATGGCTTCACCTTGACCGCCTATTCCTGGGCCTTCGCCTACTTGGTCACCATTACCACTGAGATGGTTTACATCAAGCACATGGTAACCAATCTGGGGTTGAACACTTGGGGATTTGTGCTCTACAACAACCTGCTCTCCTTGTTGATGGCTCCCCTCTTTTGGCTCATCACAGGGGAGTATGCGCAAGTGTTTTCTGCCATTAATTCCTCATCAAACGGCATCGCGGATTTGTTCGAACCCGCAGCCTTTTCCGCCGTGGCTTTATCCTGTTTGTTTGGATTGCTCATCAGCTTCTTTGGATTTGCAGCTAGAAAGGCTATTTCTGCGACGGCATTTACAGTGACGGGAGTGGTGAATAAATTCCTTACTGTGGCAATTAATGTGAGTATTTGGGATAAGCATGCTACTCCCATCGGTTTGATCTGTTTGCTCCTAACCATTGTTGGAGGGGTTCTCTACCAACAGTCTGTTACCACCAGAGGAGGAATTGGGAGGCAAAGCGGAAGTGACGCAGATAGAGATGAAGAAAAAAGGATTCCTGGTAAAACTAGTGGTGTATGAACAACATATTTTGCTTGAGGAGGAGGAGGAGGTACTATCTTAATCTTAACGTAAATAAATGTATGCCCACTAATGTTTGTCGTGCTTGCGAGTAACTTGTATCATTTGCATCTATCTATTGATTGTTAATCTGAGGCCAAGTTTACTAGTGTTTATACTTGCATTGCATTGCATGTGTTTTGTATGTAAGAAAGACCATCCAGGTCAGAATTCAAATAAATATTAAAGAAAAATATATTATCATATTTATGTAAAATGATTCAAAATGTTTAAAAAGTTAGATAACTTAGAAATTTATTAAACGAGATTAAATAATACTAGGGAGGATTGTAGTATTAATCCTACAAAATGTTACTATAGTATCGGATCCATAATTATCTCGGGCTCCAATACTTTAAAGTAAACATAAGATTCAGACGGACAAAATAATATTATCAACCTTAATTACGTGCAGTAAACGCACCCATAATGTATACCCGAAATAACCATTATCAAAACAAATATACTTACAAAATAAAATGTACTATTCGTTAGCGCGGGGGATTCAATCGGTGATGCCCATGCATGTCCCACATTACAAAATGAACTCTTAATTGAAATGGATAGTCAATAACCAAAACTTCTATTTGTAGTAGCTATAAATTGTAATACCTCTTGAGCCATGAAGGTCCTAGACAAATTCAATTCACGAAAACAAATATTGTTTCTTCGAATTCAGAAGGCCACAATTTGTGAAAAGTTGATATATGCAAGAGGCATAAGCAATCATAGTCCTAAACAAAATATACGAACGAACTACTACATGCAGTCAACGTAACAAAAGACAAATAAAGTGGCGGTTAAGGTGTTGATTTGGCCAAATCATCAAACTAATATGAAGAAATTAACAAATCATGACACAATATATAGCACATAATTAGCAAATCTTTATAAGGCATATAGCATATACTATGTTATATATCGGGTAATGATTCGCTATTTTCTTCATGAACATTTTCTAATTGAATCAAATTACTATTGTGATGCAATTAAAATATATTTTGCTACATGTAATTATATAACATATTCAAATATGTGCTATATTCTATATCGATATTTGCTATTTTCTTTATAGACATTTTCTAATTAAGTAAAATCAGCACCATGCTGATTTGACCCAATCAGCACGGTAACCAAAACGGACAAATAAACATTAGTACAATAACAACAAAATTAGCCAATATTAGAAGACATAGCGTTGAAATGTCCTCATTTTGTCTTTTCTCCCTATAGCCTGAACATGTACATCGATATGTAGTGCTCGGACATGGATGTTGTGAGCTTGGAATTGAATCACCGGTATAGAAAGACCTCTATTTCTTCATTTCAAACTTTCGGTATAATTGTTCAAGCATAATCATTTATCACAAGGACCACATTTGTAATATAGTCTACCTGAATTGTTGACACTCCTAGTAACTCTTAGCACGCCATCCCTCTCCCGCGAACATTTTCGTCCTATGTTTCACATAACTCCTTAAATATTGCACAACTTTGTAGATCTGCAAAGCATAAAAACATAACTATAACATCATGAGCAACACATTCACTTGGTTTCATTTCAAATGCATACAAAGTATCTTCAGAAAAATTCACACAGATGAAAATAAAAGTTCAACAAGCTTTTGCCACTATTCTAGAGACATAGGAGGTGCTATCCACAACTCTGTGACTAAAATGATTCATTATTTTGCTTCCATAGATAACATCAAATTCAAATTTGAACAATAAGCTGTTGAAGCAAAACGCAAAACTGCAATGGCTTCCGTACTGATGTTCTACACAGATCGGTCAAATGCTGCTCCAAATTTGATGATCCAAGTTTCTCAACGCTAAACAACAAATCAAACCAAAGCACAACTAATTTCAACATCCAAAAAGAAGAAAATCGAACCTTTTATGTGAAAACAATATCTCATCATCTGAATACAAAATAGACAAATGCGATAACACTATCAAACAAATCGTTACTAGAAGAACCTCACACAAACGTCGTACAAGGATGATAATATGTTTCCAAAAGCACCCAAGATTAATTACACAAGATCCCAAGATCTTCCAGTTTTTGAATCAAATGCTACCAAGATCCGATTCAAGCCAAATAAAAATAACAAGTTGAGAAAACTTACCGGAGGGGACAATGGGGAGAGAACTCCGCGGTGGATAAAACTAGCCTCCGTTCTCCGGAGAAAGGAGAAATTGATGGAGAAGAACGCCGACCCGTGTGCCTGTAGAGAAGAAATAATGAAGAGAAAATTAATTTTGGCCTCGCTCGAGGCTTGGCTTTCACGAAATATTCCCATCGAAAGCTATTCCGATGCGCGACATCATTTTCGGACGAATGGATTAAGGGCTTCCAAAATTCAAAACGGGTATCTCAATAAGAGCCATTGTCAATGCTCTAAGATATGGCAGGCAGCTACGAACTACAATGATTAAGTTAGGTAAAACGGACCTTAGAGCAGATGAATCAAGCTAAATGCTAACCCAAAACTAATCTAACTAATAAACGCAATGCTCGATTAAGATTATAAGTACATCAACTAAATAGTAGGAGCAGATAAGTTCACACAACAGGAATACAAAAAACAGGCTGCTAACTATGAACACGCCAGCTTACTAGTCCACAATTTCTATACGACAAACCCAGCTAACCTAGTCTTAACTAATATGCTAGTTAAAATATGCAAAAGCAGAGCAATCCAAACAAAAAGCTAAGCTAAGCTAAGCTAAGCAATCCAACTACAAAGCACTACACTTGCTATCTACAGCTAAAGCCACAACCAAGCTAAATTTACTACGCTGATTATTTAACATGCTGACCAGCTCTAATTCATGTAGCGAATAAAAAACCAGGCTAATACTGACTCAAACCAGCTCGCTCACGAATAAACTTGGTCAAAAGTTCAAAATATGAGTTCAACAATTCGAACCAAACTGAATAATTAGAAATAATCTAAAATTCTAATATTTTTTTATATATTTTTAAATTTTTTTATAAAAAAAAATATATATTAAAATATAATTAATACTATTATTTAGTTCTTATTTTTATTAAAATATTAAATCTATATACTAATATAATATAGGATAAATTATTTTTTTAGTAAATCTAAATGTGCAAAAAATTGTATTTTTTCTTGTAAGTAGAATTTAATAACAATATTAAATATGGTTTAGATGATTTATTTTATAAATTACCAATTTGACGGAAAAAATTAAAAATTTATAATTGAAATAGCTATCAAATTGTGATAATTTTTAAGTTATTATATTAGATGTAACTCCAAGTTGATTTTGGAAGAATTTCACTTTAGTTCGAATTCAAATTATTTCGGCAGTATCTACTTGCTTATTCTTAATTTTAAATATTTTTATTTTAAAATTCTTCAATCAAAATGATATTAGGTATAAGACTTTTATAATCACAATAGAATATTCTATTACAAGAAAAAGTTTGAAAGGTAACAGATTAGTTTAAAAATTTATTATTTGAATAAGTTAGTATCTCCTTTATATAACCAGGTATCTCATAATTTATGTTAACAAACTATGTTTGTAAGCTTATAATTCGGTGTAATTTTATTTAAATTGCATAAAAGTGAATGTATTGAGAAAATTATAGTTGATATTGTCTGATAATGAGATTATTTATCTATCTTGGAATAGAATAAGATGGTTTTTTTACTTCCAAAGTAGCTAACTGTCAGTCAAAACAATGTACCGGTAGTCTTAAATTGATCGAGCTCATTAGCTTGATCTGATTACTGAAACTGATACATAATTATATGAGAATAACATACACTTAATCACAACTTAATTTTCGTGTTGAATTATAGTTTAATTGTGATTTAATATCAAATACGAAACACAGGGCTCTATAGTGATGTGATCCACTTAGCTTTTCATTGCTCTTATTTCGTGGATCTTGTATCTTATACATATAGCATGATTTCTATGTGCGAACTTTTTGAATATTATTGTTATTTGCAATGAATGGTAATGCTTGACGATTACACCATCTTACATATGTATATTGATGTATCGTTACATTTTGCAATAATAGTAATTAGTTGGACAACTGATTGACCTGTATCACTGGGTCCTTCGGGGGTTGGATTTGGTTAATTATGGCCCTATCTAATCATTATCGTGCAAGTTTTGGTCCACTAATTGGATTAATCACTAGTAGGATCTACCAGTAGTTCAGGATCATTGGCCAACTTCAAACGCGATCCCAAAAGGGTGCGAGGATGAGTAGAGTTTTTGAATCCCCTTTGGATGATTTTTGAGGTGCACGAATTCTACTACTATACACGTGATAGATCTATCTTCGCTACCACAAGCTCTGGATTGTTCTATGGTGAATGGCGATACATGTCGGCTATCCATATGATTGATTGACATATTTTTATTATTTGTACCTGGCTGGTTATGCCTTTGATGTTAGGGTTGGATGTCTGTCTGGTGGTATCAGATTTTTTATATTATTTCTTGAGAGGCATTCTTGTTGATTGATTTGTCTTATCTCGTACTATTGATGATATTCAGGGACATTTTGGATAATGTCAATTGTTGTTGGATGACTTTACTTATTGTCAATATTAAATGATAAAAAATTTATATTGAAAGAATAATAAATATTTTATGCAATGCACAATAGCACAAATACATATATGGAATCAAACCTTCGTTGTGATGAAGTTTTTCTTTTTTGACTCCTCATATCTTTAAATGGAATATATATAACGGAAAAATAATAAGGTAATCATAACACATGCAACATCAATTTTATAAATATAAATGATTTAAATTGTATTTACTTGTGTAATTTTGTTCTACTTACTCATTAATTTACTGATGTTAAATCTATATTTTGTAGGCAATTTGAGTGAGATTGACTCGCCCTATGCATTATTATGGGGCTTTGTTTAGGATTGAGAACACCTAATTAATAATTTTTATTTTATTTATAATGGTCTGATCACCTTAATTGCGAGTTGAGACATGTTTCACTCTAATGACTTTTGTTTCAAGAATTCCAAGCATAGAAATAGGATTTGACTAAAAAAATTATTTTAATCTCTCTTATTTT